GTTCTTTCTGATTGTCCATCAGTCTGAGGATGGAAAGCAGTGCTGAGGGACAGCTTTGTTCCCGTGGCTTGCTGGAAACTATTCCAAAACTGAGAAGTGAATCTGGGGTCCCTGTCGGATACCACTGTCACTGGGACTCCATGCAATCTGACTATCTCCCGGATATACATTCTTGCCAACTTGTCCAAAGAATCAGTTATTTTGATGGCTAGAAAGTGGAAAGACTTAGTGAGTCGGTCAACAATTACCCATATAGCATCATGTCCTGATCGTGCCTTGGGTAGTCCCGATACGAAGTCCTTGGTGATATGTTCCCACTTCCACTCTGGAATCGGTAAAGGCTGAAGTAACCCACCTGGGCGTTGATGTTCTGCTTTGACCTGCTGACATACAAAGCACTTAGATACAAAGTCAGCTATATCTCTCCTCATCCCCTTCCACCAGAACCGAGGTCGCATAGTTTGGTATATTTTTGTACTTCCTGGATGCATGGCAAACCTTGAACTATGGGACTCCGTCATGATGTCTCTTTTTAACTCACTGTCGTATGGGACACACACTCTGTCCTTGAAACGAATCAATCCGTCGGCAGAGATATGAAATTTTAAACTCACTCCCTGTTCTGCATCCTTCTTGCGGGTTACTAGGGCGGGGTCGACTGACTGGGCTTCCTTTATTCTTTGGATTAACTCGGGTTGGACTGCTAGGTGGCCCAAACATGTGGCCTTCTTCAGATCTCGCAGTCGAACCTGCTGCGTGGCCCCAATTGACCTGCATTATGAAACCATCAAATGGGCTAGGGTGCCTGCACTTTTCCTGTTGAGGGCATCGACTACCACGTTGCCCTTACCTGGATGGTATAGGATATCACAATCATAGTCCTTGAGGAGTTCTATCCACCTTCTCTAACGCATGTTGAGATCCTTCTGAGTGAAGATGTGCTTCAAACTCTTATGATCGATATAGATTTGAAATGTCTCTCCATACAAATAATGGCGCCAGGTTTTCAAGGCGTGTATGATTGCGACAAGCTCCAAGTCATGGGTAGGATAGTTCTTGTCATGATTCTTTAGCTGTCTAGACCCATATGCTATAACCTTTCCATGCTGCATCAGGACACAACCCAAGCCCAGATAGGAGGCATCACTATAAACTGTATACCCTCCTGATCCACTCGGTAGAGCCAGCACGGGTGCAATAGTCAGTTGCTTCTTCAATTCTGAAAAACTCCTTTCGCAGTCCTCATTCCATTCAAACTTTGCATTCTTCTTTGTGAGTCGGGTTAAAGGAGCTGCTAGACTAGAGAATCTTTCGACAAACCGGCTGTAATAACCTGCCATCCCCAGGAAGCTGCGAATTTCCTTAACTGTTGTCAGCCTTTCCCAACCAAGTACCGCTTCAACCTTTTCGGGGTTCACTGATACCCCTTCCTTCGATATAACATGTCCCAGGAAGGCGGTTTGCTCGAGCTAGAACCCACACTTACTCAACTTTACATACAACTTCTTTTCCCTGAGGACCTGTAGGACTTGGGCAAGATGATGAGCATGTTCTTCTCTACTTTTTGAGTAGACTAAAATATCATCGATGAACACGATGACAAATTGATCCAAGAACTCTCTGAAGATCCTGTTCATTAGATCCATAAAGATGGCCGGGGTGTTGGTTAGCCCAAACGGTATGACCAGGAACTCATAGTGTCCGTACCTGGTTCGGAATGCCGTCTTGGGGATGTCTTCTGTTCTTACCTTTACCTGATGGTAACCTGATCGTAGATCTATTTTAGAAAAGGCCCGTGCACCCTGCAACTGATCGAAAAGGTCATCAATCCGGGGAAGAGGATATTTGTTCTTAATTGTTACCTTGTTTATCCCTATGTAATCAATGCACAGTCTCAATGTTCCATCTCCCTTCCTTGCAAAAGTAACCCTGGCACCCCAAGGGGAAACGCTGTGTCTAATGAAACCACTGTCTTGTAACTCAGTTATCTGTTTCCTTAGTTCTTCCATCTCGATGCGGCTCATTCGGTAAGGAGCAACCGAGATGGGCTGGGTACCTGGCTGTAAGTCTATGGTGAACTCAACCTCTCTGTCCACTAGTAGACCGGGCAGTTCATCCGGAAATACATCTGGAAAGTCTCAGACTACTGGAAT